CTATGAGCAGCTCCTGCCTCCTCCCGAATTAATTGCATTTGCATCTGGAACAGATGGCATGCTGGGACTCCCCCCTCCTCCCATTTTTCACAGCGCATTGGTCCAGGAGAAAATCGTGTAATTAAAAGAGGAGAAATGCGGAACAATTCCCTCAGCGGACTTTGCCATCTTCGCTCCCTTGTAAATCCATTAATGAACTGTAATTGCAAAGACAAACCCCTTATTGAAACCCGGTAACCAATTCACTGGGGACCAGGAGACTCCTATTGTCATCCAAGACCTGAGGAAAGAAAGAAAAAAACCCTAATTAGTTTAGTACCGTTTATCTATATAAAAATATATATATAACAGCTTCAAAGTAATGTGCCTTCTGCCAATACACTGGTTGCCCTGGGGAAATGCTGGCTGTCCTTCTTTCGGGGATTTGTTTATAAGCTTCCATGAATCCAACCGAGAGCAGAGACGAGGGAATGACATGGAGAAGGTGGACTGCGGGGGCCACAGAGTAGCTGTGGGGGGAATTGTGATGAGTTAACAGCAGGCTCTGGGAGGAAAAGACTCCTGGGCGCCACCTTCCTCAGAGCTGGCAGGGCGTGAGTGCGGGGCTGCGGCCTGTGCAGGGGAAAGGTCCTTCCTGGCCATGTGGCCGTCGTGGGGGAGACCAGGGTCAAGAGTACAGAGACCGAGGCCGGGCGACATTGCGAGTCCACCGCCCCCCCGTCCCCCGACAGCGCCCTCAGTCAGGGCGGCCCATCAACTCTCTCCTTGAACTTTCTGTCACTTTAACCAAAATCCCTCAGTCGCACGCTCTGGCCCACGTGCCTGTGGTCCGATCTCCAGGTGATTGCTCCCACCGCTTCTCCCACCAGCTGTGTCTTATACTCTCTCCTGCCACAGAATTCCTTGTTCCTGCAGCAGGAATATTGGAAACAGGGAGCAGCCCTCACCCCACCAAATGACTGGGTCCTAGGCACGGGCCCCCTCCATTTGTTGCTTTCATCAAAAATTCTGAAGCTCAGCCCCAGACACCCCAGATCCCAACCTACCTCAACTCAGCCTGGGCTGGGGACGAGCTGAGCCTGGTCAGAGGACGCAAGGACAGCTTTGGCTCCCCCAGTTCTCGGCTTCTAGGCTGTGGTCTCCCACAGCCTTTGCTCTGTGGTCCCCTCCCTGGCCCTGGGCTCTGATCAGTCTCTCTGCCCAACACCTTCTCTAACCCCCAGCTTGCCAGGTGGGGCCTTCACTCCCTGCCTGGCCACCACTTGCCTCCCTTTGGGGTCCAAGCTGCCCTCAGGCACCTGGCTCCAGCTCCAGGCTCCTACAGGGCCAGGGCCACCCTCTGCCAAGCTGTGAGCCTGCTGACCACCTGGGAGGGTGATGGGGGAAGAGAGAGGCCACTGGGATCAGCTGAGCACCTACTATGTGCCCAGGGCTTAACATTCATGATCACAGGCAGCAAAGCTAGGCTCATGCTGCTGTTGAGAAAGGCCTTAGCTTCAGGTAAACCTAGGAAACCGCCTCCCCCAGTTACTCAGACAAGTCCCATCACTTGTAAAACTATTACAGGAGAATAGTGTCACTCATCACTGGTAAAGCTATTACAAGTGATGAGTGACACTATTGCTAACTCCTAGGGTCCCTGGAAGGGTTCATCAGGACCCTCAAGTAAGGACTCGCACCCAGCCCAAGGACTCGTGGCCTCACCCCAACAGCTGCGCAGTCATCCTGCCCAGGGCGCAGCAGGGCCAGCCTCAGCGTCTCTGCCCCAGTGAGAGCTGTGGATGTTTGGTCCTGCCCTTCCCAGCTGAGGCCTCTGCACAGCCTGCTTCACTCCCCACCAAGCGTTTGTGCGAAAAACATGAGTCCCATTTATAATTAGAAACTCTGGTCACATCACTTCCTACTTACACCTCTTCAGTGGCTTCTCACCATCTTCCAGATCGAGGCCCTGCCCAGCATGCTCCAGCTGGCGCCGCTCTACGCCGAGGCACGGCTGTCCTGGTCCTCACCTGGTGGAGCCGGGGGCTGGTACCCATTAGCACAATGAGGTGGACCGAGGCCCCTGCTGAGGAGCGGAAGACTTGCAGAGAGCCACGGTGCACACTCAGGGTGGTCTCCCAGCAGGCCACAGGGGCTCCAGGGGACACAGCCTCTGGAGGCCAGGTGGCTACTGCATCTCGAGGGACAGCAGTGCCAGATGGAAGCAAGGGAAGTGTTAAGAAACTGACCGGTGTGGGTATGTCCCTGAGGCCCAGGCACCACCCTCCAGATGGCAGCAGTGACACCAACTCCATCCTCGATGCACAGTGTGGGTGGCACCGAGCTGCGGCTCCCCGCACGTCATCTCATTAGCACCCTGCGGCCCCCCACAAGGCGGGGCCAGGATTTCTTTTTTCCCCCCCGGAGAGGTGAAAGGCCCTGCCACGTCACCGGGGAGCTGAGGAGTACTTCTGGAACACAGAGCTGGCCCAATCCCTTCCCAGAATTGAAGGACATGAACCAGGACACCAAGGCCACCAACGTAAGTGGGAGGAAATGGAGGCAAGAGGACAGCTAAGAGGCAAGAGGACGGTCGCATGGCACAAAATGGAAACTGACTCAGCCATGTTGAGCTTTGCCGAGGTTTCCTGGGTGTCTGATGAAATGACGGAGGCAGGGAGTTTAGCCAGGCCCCATGAGAGGAACCAGTGAATGACCCCTTGTGGTGGATGAAAAGTGGTGACAAAGTCCTTGCTGCTTTGCCCCCATGGAGAAGTGGAGTTGATCTCTCCATTCCTAGAATTTGGGCTGATCTATAGCTTCTTTGACCAATAAAATGCAATGAAAGTAATTCAGTGCCAGTTTAGGGGCCTCGTACCTGAAAAGATTTTTGGGAGCCCTGAGCTGCCCTGTAAGAAGTCCAGGTCCCCTGTCGGAGAGACCACATGGAGAAGGTAAGGCCATGAGACTGCGTCAAGAGGGAGAGAGAGAGACCCCATCTCGCAGCCATCTCTATGAAGGCGGCAGTCACGTGAGCGGGTCATGCTGGAAGTTCCAGCCTGGCTGAGACCCAAACAATTGCAAAATGTTGTAATTTGCGAACCCAGTCAACCCACAGAATTGCAACAATAAGAGAGAGTTGCTTTGAGCACTATACCCTGCAGCAGTTTTCTAAACAGCAATAGATAACTGGAAAGTAACCCAGCAAATGCTGCTTTTTTCTTTCTTAAGGATGGTGGCCCCCAGTCTCTGCCTTTCAGTGCACCGGGAAGAAAATGTAAACCTCCCAGCTCCAGGACCAGCAGCCAGGTAGCTAAGGTCCTCATGTCCAAACTCCCAGAAGAGAGACACCGATTGCCCAACTTGTCTACCCATTGACCAGTCCAAGAGGCAGGCCCTGAGGGGGTTGGGGGATAACCTCAGAAGAGGGAAGTGTGGGCTGAGTAATTGCCACAAGGGCGTGTGGCAAGGAGTCTTCTCAGGCAGCACAAAAGCCTCTAGCCCAGGTGATGGTGGCCGGGTGCCTGTCCCAGGGTGGTTACGTGACTGCTACGTTGCTCTTGTGAGCTTGTCTGCTGTATGACTGAGGCTCCTAGGTATTGCTGGTGGTGTTATTCTGCCTCCTTGAACTGCTTCTAGGAAGATCTTCCAGGATGCTCTGAGCTTCTTGTAAAAGCCTTTTACATGCTCTCAAGTGTGAATTTAGTAGTAACACTAAAAATGCTCCATTAAACAAGGATGAGTTCAGAAAATCACCTAAGCTCCCCCTCTGAGAGGCAAGGCCTTGACATTCCAGAAGGGTGCTGATCCAGCGGGGCCTGGGGGAGGCTGGCAGGCCCCGCTGGAGTTGGGGGCCCTGGGGGTCAGCAGTCTTTCCCTTGTGCTGCCCCTGAGGTGGGGCCTGCAGCTGTCTGTGTTGGGGGAAGGGCGAAACTTCTAAAACACAAGGAACCAAGGGAGAGGACTCCAACAGGGACACCGGGCTGGAACCCTTCCCAGCACCCCTCTCTCACGCACACACTCCTCACATACAGCTAAACCCACTGTCTTTTCCCCCAGCTACATGAGGGTAGCAGGGCACCCTGCTCAACTCTAAGTCCCTGAAGAGCAGGGTTTGTGTCTATTTCATAGGCTGCCCTCTCCCACTGTCCGACATGGGGTATGTGCTCTGTGTTTTGTCTGCATGAGTGAATGAATAAAGTTCGATCGGGAGCCACGGCCCTTCTTCTCCGTGCCTCTTTCTTTTGATGTCCCGGAGTCCTGGCTACCAGTCCTGTCTCGGCAGCTGGCCCAGTGCCTGAGCCAGTCGCCTCATCCCTCAGACGCTCAGCTTCCCCATTTGTGGAGCGGGGGTGGCTCGGGTCTGTTCTGGGTAGGGTTACTGGGGGCATGAAATGACATCATGGAAGTGAACGTGTCACTGAAAAGGCAGGACAAGCGTGAAGGGGCTTGGGGTTTCGGAGCCGTTGCTGTCATCGCTGTTCCCGCCACTGTCACCATCCAGCAATCACCCTCATCCGCCCTTTCTCCTGCTCCCCAAATAACCACTCTACCTCTGGCCCATTCAGTGCTTAAGTTAAATCACATTTTAATTGTTCTTCAAAAAGGAATAGAGAACTCAGAAGAGATTCACAGCACTCGCATTCATGAAGGGTTCACTAACAAGAGGAATATATTAAGCTTCTGGTTAAAAAATGCAAACGCAGTCCCAGTTACACTCACGCTTGTGCTCCCAGACACACCCTGGCCCTCGGGCACACACGTGCACACACTCACACACGTGCTTCCGAACCCCGCAGCCTCCCAGCACACGCACTCAGACACACACTCCCCTGAGCAGGGCTCGAAGGCTGGTGGGAGAAGGAGAGGCCTGGCGTCACCCCAGAGGCCTGGCCCTCCCAAATCCCCCTCACTACAGGACGAAGCTAGACTAAACTCGGGGCTCTAGGGGACACACGCGGGGCTCTGTGAGCTGTGCTTGGGGCCGGGAGGTGGAAATGCCGCAGCGGGGACAAGGGGCCTTAGACGATCCTGTTCTCCATGATGGCCAGCCGCTTGCTCACAGCTTCCAGTGGGCTCAGAGTTAAGGAGAGGTGCAGGCTCACCAGGGCAGGGCCGTGAGGGAGTGGCCCCTGGACTCAGGACCCCGCTTTCGGTTCCCTGTCCAGTGACCTCCTTTCAGGGCTTTCTCTTAACCTACACCCCCTCCCACCCCCGACATCATGTTTTTCCCCCCAGTGTCCAGCTTTATCCATCCACTGCCCTCAGAATGGTGCTCTCCAAAAACACAGCCAGTATGATGAGCCCCGAATGCCCAGGAGCAGATTTAGGCCTGCTGGGTCCCCACCGAGTCCTGACCAGGCCAGGAAGCTGTTCAAGGCCCCGCCCCATCTGAGTCGGGGCTGTTGTTCGTCATATCACCAAGAGCCTGAGAAGTAAGGTGTCCCCAGGCACCATGATTCCCTAAATGTGTCTAGGACGCTGTGTGTCTCCATCTCTAGATCTTGAACTCTGCCTCAGTTTCTCCGTGTGCCCTCTAGAAGCCACTGCTTTTGACAGGGTAGTATCAGAGCGGGTGTCCGCCTATCTGGCGGAATCCAGCCCATCCTCAGCAGGAAGCAGGCAAAGAGGAGCCTGCCCCGACCCTGCCGCACAGAGCGGCATGGCGCACTCCCCTCCCCACAGTGCCCCGGCCCCACCCCTCGCCTTCCCTGCGTCAGCCTCTGGATAAGGATATGTTTCTTGGTCAAGGCCTGCAGCAGCCCCTCCACTTTGGCCTGGAATTTCACAATGGACTCACAGTCACATGGATCTTCCTCTGGAGTGGACAGGAAATAGAGAAAGACAAAGGGATGGTAAGTGGTTGCCACGCAGGGAGGCGGGGCAGTCACTGTCCAGAGCCAGGACTAGGGAGTCATGGGGGAGCATGTGGCCTAGGACACCTGAGGGGGCAGGAATATGTATAATTGAGACAGAGCTCCTGGGAGTGATGGAGGGCGACCCGTGAATGTCTTCCTGATCCCCCAGAGCCCTGACAAAGAACTCCGGTAACAGCATCCCTGCGCTGAGCACCTACTATGTGCAAGACACTGCTGTCAGGAGCCGTTCTGTCATCCCGGTGACTCCTCAGCCCAATACTTTGAGTGTGAAGTTATTAATCCCATTGTACAAATGAAGAACCGAGCAGTGAAACAACTCATCCGTGGTCAACAAGTAGTTAATGTCAGAGCAAAGATGCAAAAACAGACACATCTGGCTCAGGAGTCCCTTCTTGACCACTGGGGACCAGCTGGCAAGGTCATCAGGCACGATCAGAGGAGGTGGCAGGATTCAAATCCCGGCTTCTCCAGTTATTAACAATTGTTCCACCGCTCTGGCCTTGGTATTCCTGTCTGTAAAGTGGGGATAAAAATATTCCTACCAAAATAGAATTGAATGATTTTGATACTGGAGAGCGCTGAGGACAGTGTCATTCACATATTGAGCATTCCGTAAATACACATGTGCTGGCAGTAAGACTTAGACTGGCTGGCCCCTCTCCTGGTTCTGCCAATTTGTGGTGCCAACCCAGCTCCTGCTTCTCCCCACCCACGTCCAGTTCCAAGATGGCTCCGTGACCCATGCCCAGAGCTACACCTGCCCCTCCCACCCATGCCAGCCCTGGCCTCACTCACCCACGCAGATCTTCTTCTGCAACTTCATGCCAATCTGGTTAATGGTCTTAAAGTCAGCCGTGTAGAAGTAGTGCTCTGCCACGGGCTCTGAGGCAATCTCCCTCAGCTCGTCCTCCACGGCATTGCCCACACCCACCGCAAACATCTTAAAGCCTGCCAAGAGGGCCAAGACAAGTAAGGATGGTGGTGGGGACAGCAGCAATGGCTGAACCCGTCGGAGGATACCCAGGAAATCAGCACCAGATACCTCCTGGTGGCAACTGCTGGAATTGCAGGCACAATGCCTTGGACAAAGACATTGAGGAAGTCAACACTTATTGTGATTCTACTATAAGTCAGACCTGCACTGACTCTCTGTACTGGGAGCCTTGTAATCTCATTTAACTCTCATAACCAACATCTGGTGCTTATTATTATCCTCATTTAATCGGCGCTAAAACTAAGGCCCAGGTTTGTCCCAAAGTGGGCTGCCTTCCAACAGTTGGCATATTCTTGGGAACATTCAACTGGAAAAGTTCCAAGGCCCTCTTACAAAAGGACCATCAAAACAAGCCACATACTTTTCTAGGGCCTCAATTCTGTCACCAGTATAGGAAAGACATAGATGAGCCAATCCTTCCTCATTCAGATTCAAACCTGGGTTTAGGGCACTGATCAGAAGAGACACTGAGATAAATAACAGCTGAGCTGTGCCGCGTACACCTGGTCATCAGTGCTGCTCGGGGTCCAGGAGGGAGCACCTACCAAGGTCCTTGGCCTTCTTGGCAGCATCATTGATGTAGTCCTGGCTCCGGCCATCGGTGAAAACGATGCCCACCTTCTGGGCACCAGGCCTAGCCCCGCTGGACACGGTGAAGGAATTGTCAATGAGGTACTTGAGGGCAGCCCCAGTCATGGTGCCCTTCTCCATGTAGGACATGTTTCGCACCGCTGCCTTGATGTCCTTCTTGGTATGGAAGCGGCCCAGCGGGAACTCCTGGCGCACAGAGCTTGAGTACTGTACCAGCCCCACCTGGGCCAGCTTGTCTGACACGTCCAGCGTGTCCACGATCTGGTTGATGAACTTCTTCACCAGCTCAAAATTCTCCGGCCGCACACTCTTGGATCCATCAATGAGGAAGACCAGGTCAGTGGCCAAACTGCCACCACCACCACTGCAGACTGGGGAGTGTGAGAAGGCAAGGAGACGGCGCTGAGAGACAGTCATCTATCTGACCACTGGCTGGGAGCCTCCCACACACCAAGCTCTGTGCTGAGGGTCATCCCATCTTGTCCTCAAAACTCTCTCTAGAAACCCAAAGTTCCTGGCCCATTTTACAGCATTGAAATCTGAAAGATCACAAGGCTCAGAGGTACTGGCACCAAGACTCGAACTCAAGGCTATGTGACTCCTTCCATCACACAAAGCCCGCCACCCATTGTGTCAAAAGGGGGACATCGGAAGAGAATTTTCGGCTGCCATCCAACTCTAGAAGGAATCTATCCCCTTTGCAGATTTGTCCAGAGGCAAAGTATGGGAAGGCTGAGATGGGCTGGGGAGTAGACCAGGCGCCATCCCCTCCCTCACCCACCCTCCCGGCTGCCTGTGTGCAGCCCCACTGACCATTGCAGGTCTTGCCATCACTGTTCAAGGTGAAGCCCTCGCGACAGGCGCAGGTGTAGGAGCCCGGGGAGCTGATGCACACCTGCTCACAGTCATGGTCTCCTGTGGCACACAGGTCTGACACCACTGGGGGGACAAGAGGAGACTCAGAATCTCACAGTCACAGGGCCTCAAATATCTCAGCCAGGATGGGCCCTCAGGGAAACTGAGGCCCTCAACTAGGTGGGGTCCAAGCCACAGAGCCTCATCCCAATGCTGGAATCACTGCACCAGCGCTGCCATCCCTGAAGAAGGTGATAATGCTGATGATAAAACTCAAACGTCCTGCTAAAAAGGTAAAGGCTAGAGGAACAAGAGCTTTTTTTCCTATTCTGGTCACTGCTGTATCCCAAGTGTCTAGAACAGCACACGTAGCGAAGGGCACAGCATGCACAAGACTCTCAACAAACATTTGTTAAATACCACCTATTGAGCACTGTGCCATGAGTTATTTCATTGAATTCTCAAAATAACATGCATGGTCTTCTTAGACCCGTTTCATAAATGAGGAAAATCCTTGCCCTGGCCCCGCCCCATCCTACTCGGGACCCCGCCCCTTCTGACTGGTTAAATCCCACAGACAGACTGCTCACAGGCCTACCTCCCCTCTTCGAAGGACTCTAAACCTTCTCCTGTCCAGCGCCCAAGCCCCTCGGACCCTCCTGCATCAAATGAACACTTGAGCACCTAAACCCTCCCCTAGACATCCAAACACGCACGGGGTTTTTTCAGGCCTTCTCTTTACTGGATTCACGCCTCTCCCGCGTCCCTTCCAGGACCCTGGCACATAAAAGGGTTCTTGGCATCGCCTCTCCCCTACTGCCTTCAGCCCGAGCTGGGTATCCGCTCCTGGATCAGCACCCCCCCTCCCACCCAGCCCTGGCCCCGCCCCAGAGGCTGGTCTTCCTCAATCTGACCCAGGTTCTACTTCCAACATTGCCTTAAACACACTGAGGCCCCGTCACCAGCCCTGGCCCCGCCCCAGATGCTAGCTCTAGCTCAGTCCCGGCTCTTATAGGCCACCGTCCCGCCCCGGCCCCGCCCTAGTTAAGAAGATTCCGGAGTCCTGCTTTCTCAGCCCCGCCCCCGTCCCCGCCCCGCGCCCCCGCCCCGCCCCGCGCACAGCAAAAGGCCTCCTGGAACTTCTTGGACAGTTTCTGGATGACGCTGTAGCTCTCCACGTAGTCCACGTGCTCCTCCTGCGGCTCGCTGGCGATCTGGCGCAACGTGGCCTTGTCCACGCGGCCCACGCCAATGGCGAAAAGCTCGATGCCGCTGGCCCGGGCCCGTGCAGACACGTCCCGCACACTGTCCTGGGGCCTCCCGTCCGTCACCACGATGACCACCTGCGACACAAGGGGACACGTGTGAGGAGCGGGCCCCCCTGGAGGCGCTGAGCCGATCTGGGCGCTTGGCCCTCCAGCAAACCCTGGGACCGCTGGCAGTAGAGGAGACTGAGGCTAGCTGGTTGCAGGTGGATCTGACTCCCTGCCACGGTTCTGCCCCAGGGAAGAGAACAAGTCTAGGGGAAGAGAAGACAGGCTTCCGTTGACTGAAAGAGACAAGCTAAGGTATTCTTCCATCTGGCTAGCTTCCGGATGTCTCCTGCTTCAGACAAAGGTCAGGATCACGTCTTCCCCCGCCCAGACAGGGGATTCTAAAGAGAAGCCAAGCAAATGTGCCCAACACCGTGCAGTTTTGCCAGTTGGCCACTAGAGGGAGGCAGAGGGAGAGGACGGGAGCCTGTCCCACATACATGCTACTTACCTCTTCTCCCTCCATTCCCAGATGCTACATTCTTTCCCACCGAGGAAAAGATTCCTCGGCTGTCCTCCCATGAGACTCCTCCCCCTCTCGAGACCCCGCTCCTTCTGAGGGGTCAAATCCCAAAGACTGCTCACAGGCCCACCTTCCCTCTTCAAAGGACTCTTAAATCTTCTGCCCAATGCCCAAGCCCCTCAGACCAGCCTGCATCAAGGGAACACTTTAGCACCTAACCCCTCCGCCCGACATCCAAACACGCACGGGTTTTTTTCAGGCCCCCTCTCTACTGGATTTGCGCCTCTTACAGGTCCCTACCAGGACCTTGGCACATAAAAGGGCTCTGCACCCTGGAAAAGGGAGACAGGAGGGGACCCTGGCACTGCCCCCGCCCCGAAGCTGTGTCCTCACAACTCTACCAGAGTCCAGAACTTGGCATCCCGTCCCCTTGGCCGCTTCTCTCCTTCTGACCTGGATCTGCTTCTGATTCCTGGGTCCCCACTCCTGGCCCAGGTGGTTTAAAAAGGCCCAGGTTAGAAATGCAGGCCCACAAATTACAGTTCACCTTCGAGCTCCCACTTCTTCATCTAGAAGATAGGGTTGTGGTGAGATTCAAGCGAGATGATTCAGAGTAAGAAGCCAGGAAGGGGAACTGTTATTTGTAGTGTCTGTGCCCTGGGGAGTGAGCTTGCACAATCTCTTCCCCTCAGAGGCCTGGGCTCCTGGCACTGAAAACCTAGCTGAGACTATTCACGGCCACATGCAGTGAGGCCCACTGTCTCCTTGAGTCCCCCTTCAACCCAGTTTTGGGACTTCCGATCCACCCTGTAGGACTTCCCACAGGTGAACTCCAGGCCGAACCCCTCATGGCTGGTGCCAGCTCCCCCAGACCTCGGTCTCTGTTTCAACTAATGGAGGAACTCTCCTCACTTGCCCACCCCAGGCCACCAGCCTGAGCTGGAATGAAACAGTTAACTCTGGAGATGTGACAACTGTAGATGTCTCCACCATCCCCTTCACCTCTCTCCATTAGGATCACCCAGGGTCACCACCTCCTCCCAGTCACCATAACCGGCAACCTCATGCCGGAACTTGAAAGTGAACCCTACAAAATAAGACCAGGCTGCCCGCGGTGACATTCCTTTGAGGGCCATAATGACTGGGGTTATATGCTACGGTCTGTGAACCCTTCTACCACTTATTAGCTGGGCTCGCGGCTTAAGCTCCCTGTGCTTCAGGTTCCTCATCTGTAAAATGGAGACACCACCCCTGAGCAGGATTGTTCTGTTCAGTTGTTCTGTTCTGTTCTGAGCAGGTGTGCACTGCATGCCAGAGAGTAGGGTACACAAGGGGGCAAGAAAGAGTACTTCCCTGGGCTGGGGCCCCGGGCAGGCAAATGGCGGGAGCTCAGTCCAATAAGGGCAGTGACGGGAAGGTGCTGGAGCCTGTGGGAGGACCGGCGGGGGTGAGCACACCTGCTGGACTCACAGGCCCTGGGCTGAGGCCTGAAAATGACCCGTGGGGTACAGGTCTGTGAAAACACGCAGCACTCTGCGTGGAGCCCTCGCTGACTGTGCAGCTGGTGAGCATCGCCTCCTTGTTCTGAGGCTCTACCCTCTAAGACAGCACTCCCCAAATTTTTTGGCACCAAGGACCGGTTTTGTGGAAGACAATTCTTCCACAGACCAGGGGAGTGGGGGAATGGTTTCGGGATGGTCTCTGTGCAGCCAAACCTCTCTGCTAATGACAATCTGTATTTGCAGCTGCTCCCCAGCACTAGCATCAGCGCCTTAGCTCCACCTCAGATCATCAGGCATTAGATTCTCATAGGGAGTGCACAACCTAGATCCCTCGCATGCGCAGTTCACAGCAGGGTTCAAGTGCCTAGGAGAATCTAATGCCACCCATCTGACAGGAGGCGGAGCTCAGGTGGTAATTTGCCTGCCAGCTGCTCACCGCCCACTGTGCAGCCCAGTTCCTAACAGGCCATGGACCAATACCAGTCTGTGGCCTGGAAATTGGGGACCCCTGCTCTAAGGCTTTTTTTTTATAGCAAATGTTTATATGGGGCTTATTAGGCGCCAGGTGCCCTTCTGAGACCTTTGTGCTTATGAACTCATTTAGCCCTCCTAAGAACCCCTTGAGAAGGTGTTATGTCACTCCTGTTTTATAGGCAAGAAAACTGAGGCACATGGCATGAAGTTAACTCACTCAGAGGCAAGTGCGGTAGAGCAGGGACTTGAACCCACACAGGCTGGTGGCAGTGTCCACGCTCTTACCCATCACGTAAACATCTGAACACTCTCATTCTGCCTTTGAGGAGCACAGACTGGCTGGGAAGCCAAGGTCATCTAAACAGAAATAATCAAGTGCTCGCCTGAGGTGAGAAGGATGGGGAAAGAAGGGCTCAGCTCTACCACTTACCTTAGTTGGGTCTGCTCCCCATCTGTAAATGTCCACCTCGTAGGGGTGTTGGGAGAATTCAAGTGTATGCAGGCAAAGCTCCCAGCACCCAGCGGGAGCCTGCAAACAGAAGGACCCCAGCAGGGGTGGGAGGGGGGCACGTACCTTGCTGATGTCGGGAGAATTGGCGCGACCACCCTCACCATCACTGAAGGCCTTGGTGATGGCAAACTGGATGGCCAGGCCAGTCATGGTGCCCGTGGACAGCGGCCGGATGCGGCGCACGGCCTGCAGCAGCGCAGCCTTGGAAAGGTGGGCCCACAGCGGGAACTCCTGCTTCACAGAGCTGGCATAGTTCACCACGCCCACCCGGGTGGCATTGGGCCCCACATTTAGCGACTCGATGACCTGGGACAGGAACACCTTCACCTTCTCAAATTCCACGGGCCGTACACTACGTGAGCTATCGACAACAAACACCAGGTCCGTGGGCCGGGTTCGGCAGAGGTGCCCTGGGAGGGGAAGGAGGCAGACAACAAAGAGCAGGGGTCAGACGTCAGGAGGCTGGACCAAAACAATCAGACAAAGGAGCAGAGCATCAGGGCTACTTAGATCCAGACTTGAGGCCTCAGGCAGAAAAGACTGGGCTTGAGCCAGGCTATCTGGAGCCTTTGCTAGCATGTGGGCACTTGGCCAAGCAACTTGCTAAAGGTCTCACAGCTCAGCTCCTGGGAAGGAGAGGTTCAAATTCTGGCCTTGGGTAACTCACTTCACCTCTCTGGGCCTCAGTTTTCTCATCTGTACAATGAGCTGATTGTCCCTTCCTCATGGGATCCTATGAGGACGAGCAAAAGCGCACACAGGGTGCACGCAGGGGGCTGGGCATGAGGTGGGTGTTCAGGGAACAGCAAAGGCAAGGACCACCTTTAAAACCCACTGCTTGGGTCTGAGCCCAGAGCAGCTCCATAAGCAAGGGGCAGCCGTTTCTCCAAGCTGGGAAGCCAGGCCCTGAGGGCGGGCCCTCCGGGGCAGACACAGCTCTGAGGCCCAACACATGCCTGCCAGCATGCCTCTTTCACCTGAACATCAGAACAAATCAGTAGTGTGGACCCAGTTTCCCGAGACCAGCACAGCTGGCTGGCTAGTGTCCAAGGGCAGGAGGAAGGGGCAGAAACTTCTAGTAGCTGCCTTAGCAGCCTGACCAGGTGGGCCGCCAAGACCCACCCCCAAGGAAATACGTCTTTCCAGGCACCCTGGGAGGCAGCACCATGTACTGGGAAGCATTTGGAGCTGGAGTGAGGTAGACAGGGCTTCAACTCATGGCTCAGCCATTCGGTGGCCCTGAGCAAGTCATTGCACCTTTAGGAGCTTCCGTTTCATCTGTTCATTGGGGAGAAAGGCCACTGCTTGATGAAGTCACTGTCCTGGGCCTGCAGCTGGAGGGCCTCGGTAGAAAGTGAACTGAGTCTGAACTGATACCCTCTATCAAAGAAGGATGCAGAAGACGTAGGACCCAGGACATAAGCTTAGCTCTCCCTGCTACCAGATACCATGCCCTAAATCCAGGCATGAGGGTCCTCAAGGGACCTTAGAAATGATCTTGCAGCCACTCCCTGGTCCCCACTAGCTAAGGGCACAAAAAATGGGTAAACTGAGGCCCAGAGAGGGAGAGGGAAATGGCCACAACACAGAGCAGTGGATCAAGAGCCAGGAGGCCCCGGGGCTCTCTCACTGCGTGGTCTCAGGTCCACCCCTCTCCAGCCTGTTTTCCCACCTGTACCGGAAGAGTTGGGCATTTGAGAGTTCAGTACCCAGTTTCAAGGCTGAAACTGGGAGTGGTACAGCAGGCAGGGCTGGCAAACAGAAATGGGGTCTCGCCGGTCCCCCAACCCCCATCCTGGGGTACACTCATCACCGGACCACAAGCTCAGCGCTGGGCTTGGTGCAGCCCCCGACATCAGCGGCTCTCTGTCAGCTTCCGCCCCCAGCCACCCAAGAGACAGCAGCCCTGCAGCACGCGTGGTCCCTGAGGGCAGCCTGGGGGCTGAGAAACCCCGGGGAAGACTCCGGAACTCCAGAGAGAAGCCCCCTCATGTCCCCTGACAGAGCAGACTGAGGGTCACCCCAGCCCTGGCTCTTACAAGCGTCTTCTCCGTCTGCTCCCGTGCTAGCCTGCCGGCCACCCTGCCTCCCCGCCCCCCTCCTCATCTCAGATCCCACTTAGTCCCTGCCCTTCTCAGGGCGCAGTCTCCCAGGCTGTGGGTCCAGGGCCACTCCTCCCTTGCCCCCGCCTCACATAGACCCCCTCACCTCTGGGCTGGGGGGCGAGGCCAAGTGTCCGTGGGACCAGGAGCAGCAGCAGCAGACCGCAGAGCACGAGGCTGGCACTAGAGATGACCCTCATGGTCCTAGCAGCGCGGGCAGCAGCCAGCACAGCTGTGCAGGGCAGTCGGCTGCTGGTCTTATTAACCTTGCTGCCCAGCCTCCCAGCCAGGAGGCCCTGCCCTGCCCCTTGCCTCCTGTGTAGGGGGTGGGGCCTGCCTAAATGAGGTGTGTGTGTTCCTCCCTCCAGAGAGGGAAGGGAGGAAGCCGGGAAGGGAGTGAGCTGCCTGGCGTGCACTGGAGAGACCCCTCCAACCACAAGGGCTCTTTTGCCTCCAGAAGCAACCAGAGCTTGCAGCTGCAGGGAGGAGGGTGCCCCCTCCAGGGGCTGGAAGCTGCGCTGACCTGAAGCTGCGACTCTAAGGCCAGGGAAACCTGAGTTCCATGGCCTCAAGCCCCAGCTCTGCCCTGCACCCTCATCCCACACCCAGATTCTTCTCTTGCCTGCAATTTCAACCCCAATTTTCTCATTGTACACACTTCCCCTTCTCCAGCCTCAACTACCCCCTGCCCCTCCACGCAAGCCCTGCTCTCCAGCTACACCTGGATTCTCAGAGTTCTCTTCCAAGTCTTCGCACATACAGGGCAATCTGCCCAGAATGCTTTTCATGGCACTCACTCTGCCAAACAGAATCTTTCAAGATCATAATTGGAGTAACGTGTACATTAGAACTTGGCATGTGCATGGCAGTAGAGAAGGGAGCTAAGAGCGCAGACTCGGAGCCAGATTAGCTGGATTTGCTATATGCCACCTGTGTGACCGCAGGCACGTTACTCCACCTCCAATTCCTCCTCTGAAAACAGGAGGCTAACAGCTACAGCTGATTAGAGAGACAGAATTGTATGAACTATCTCATTTAATTCTCTTGACAGCCCTGTGAGGCAGCTACTATTATTGCCCTCCTTTCCCAGATGAGGAACTGAGACCGAGAGGTGAGGTAACTTGTCTGAAGTCACACCGCTAAGAAGCATCATTGCCAGGACAGGGCCCCAGGTTGGTGTTCTCCGCTGCCCTGCTCGCTCAGGCAGAGGCGCCTTCTCCAGGCCCGCCTCATTCCCACCACCCTGGGTTATGACACGCCCTGCGCCTCCATGCCTTGTCTGTCTCATCCATGAGTGGGTAAGGGCCTGGTTGGTTCATCTCTGCATCCAGGCCCAGCCCAGGGTCTTGCACGGAGGAGGCAAAAATAAAGGCTTGTCAATAAAGGAACATAACTAGGGATGGTCCCTGGAGTGGCATCAAGGGCCAGCAGTTGATGGGATAAAGCGAAAGAAGCATGGGCTTGACCCCCTGAGAGAGCCGGAATCGGATCCACCTCTGCTGCTGACCGGCTGTGTGCCCTGCAGCTGGTGACTTAACCTCTCTGATCCTTGGCTTGTTATCACGCAATGGGAATGGCAGTACCCGGCCTGCCCACCTCACTGGGACCATGTAAGGAGGCAATGAGAAGACAGAAGTGGAGATGGGGGCCCAAGAATCATCATTTTCCCCGGGGGGTAACATCGTTAACACTTAAGACCTATGCACGTCACTCTATGTAAATTGTACCTTAATAAAAGGAAATGTAAAGACATTTTCTTTAAAATGATTGCTGGGCACAGCTGACCCAACCAGCACTCTCACGACTTTCCTCAATAATGGCAGTCACTCACTCTGTCGCTGTACTCCTTTGTTCTCCCGACAAACCTGAGCAATGGCAGCAGATCTGAGCATATTAGCCCATTTGTCAGATGAGGAAACGGAAGAAGTTCACGACTGGCCGGAAGCCACCCAGCCAGTTTAGAGGCCGGGCCAAACGTGGACCTCAGGTCTCAGTCCCCTTTGTCCTAGTTATAAAGAGCAAGGAAATTGAAAGCATTTTTTTCCGACTTCCCCACTTAAGTTTCGTATTTATTCGTATAGTTCATAGCCCTCCGCAGTCAAAACCAGGAGGTTGCTGGCTTCTTTTCTCTCTGCAACTTTTAAGTCTCATTCTGTTGTTCAGAGGCACCGCAGGCCTGATGACTGAAGTGTTTATGGCTTCCCTACATTGTGTTATAAATGTGATGCCTGCCTCCCCCCAAGCAATTCAGCTCCCTCCAAGCAGGGGCCTTGCCTGGCTCAGTCACCACTGAATCTTCAGCACCCAGCCTGCTGCCTGGAACAGGGGATAGGCATGCAAGTGAAGAAATGAGCTAAAAGAAAGAACTAATGATGAAGGATCCACCCGGAGTCAGTGACGGTGACCCACGGTGACAGAGGCGGAGTGCTCACCCCGTGGCCCTGCTGAAGGTGGACGAGGAGAACGTGAGCTCGAGTCCCCTCGCCAACCGCCCCCTCTGCCCGGTGGACAGGGCTGTGTCCAGAGCTCAGGGTACAACACTCCCTTGGCCGGGGCAGCAGCTGGGCCCGTGAAACAGCTCTTTCAGCTCCAGCTCTGAATGGCAGTTCTATGGACTCCTCAGAGGAACACAGGCGCCTTTTCTGGGTCACTTCTCTGCTCATTAGCGGAGCCACAGAAATATGCTACAGGTAAGTTTTCAGAACAGAGATGGACCCCCCCTTCAAAAGGGGGCAGCTTTAACATTCCACAGCAAGAGCAAGGGCTTGCGGGGAAGGAGACCTGGAAGTTCAGCATATACATTGAGAAAAGAAAATAAATATTTGTGTTTTTAAAATGTGAAACATTTTCCCCAGGAATCAAATTGGGAACAGTGGGTCTGGTATTGGCCAGAGAAAAAAAATCCGTTGAGGGGCCTTCCTCGAGGCTGCTCACCGGTCAGAAGGGCTCCCGCAGTTCCCTCTCCTTGTTTTCACACACCTCAGGTTTCCAGAAACTTAAAGCCTTTAGTGTTTTATCCCAGAGAGAGAGAGAGTGTTTGTGATAAAGTGAGAGGCCCCTGGGCAGAGTGTGGCTCCGTGGAAAGAGCGCAAGGCGCCCCCTCCAGCCTGAGGCTCAGCTTCTTTCCAAAGAGCAAACCTGGTTATCTTGAGCTCCCATGACAAGAGATGCAGCCTGGTTGGTCCAGGACAACATGTCCCCTCGTCCTTCACTCAGCTTCATCACGGTTTGGCTGGATCCACACAGAAGTTTACCGATATTTATTTAATCTTTCTCTTTAACTCTCAATCCACTTGTTGGAAAAAAAAAATCTCCTCCTCCTAGGAAATAACAGCCACAAAATCACCAGTTCAACATAATTTATAGATTTATTCTGCTATGCCCTTAAATAAATTTGAAACAAATTTAATTTAACTTTTTCATCTACTTTGCACCAAAAATTATCTTGCACTCTGCCAGGGGCACGCACACCAGACTTTGGGGAATCCTGTGACATGAAACCGCTTTGGAATCAGGCAGAGCTTGGTTGGAGTCTGTCGCCTATCCATTGTGTTGACTTCAGAAGACTCCCTTCACGATTCTGCTCTTGAGTTTCCTGTCTGTAAGGTGGGAAGTTGATGGCCGTGTGCAGGAGGGTTGAGAAGGAAATGTATGGAACGTCGCCTCAGTGTGGTCCTCACCGCACCTTCTGTCTCAGTGAGCAGGCAGTTTCCATCACACTGACAGAGGAGCAAGGCAGCCCTGGCATTTCCCAGAGGGCAACCCTCACCAGTGGGGGATGGGCACCACCCGTAAATACCCCAGCTTCCCCGTGCTCTCTGCTGGACCGTTCTGAGATGTGCTCCTCACCATCCCTCAGAGGGTCCCCAACAGGTGTGAACCCCAACTGCCCACAGAAGCGAACTGTTTGCTCAGGCACTTTTTATTGGCTTTTGCCCCTTCCCAGCCTCGCCCCACCTCTCACTATAGTTCCTGGGCCCACCTCCCAAATAAACCACCAGCACCAAATCCTTGTCTTGGGATCTGCTTTGGAGGAATTTAAACGAAGCTCAGGCAAAGCTTTCTCGAGTGTGGGAATCTGAAACGAGGCTGTGCTGAGGGTCCTCCTCGGGGAGAACAGCCCTGGCGGGCGGGGCACATGAGGCGAGGGAGGGAGGGCCCTGTTCAGGCCCCAGGGATCAGCTGGGATCCACGGGGCTCCGGGCCAAATAAGCATCCTCATCTAGATGCACTTGCAACTTATTCTCTGACTCTTCCTTCAGTTACCCCCAAACCAGCGGTTTGGTTAAGGTTTTTCAAAAAAATGCAGAGTCTCGGGCCCCACCCCAGACCCAGCAAATCTGTATTTCTAAGCTCTCCAGGTGGTTCTGATAGAACTAAACCACCCACGTCATCCAGCCTCCCCTGTGCAACTTAAGTTCTCTCTCTGTCTCTGGAACACCTCTTGGACAGGGAGCTTGCTGCCTATCCCCCAAAGTTCTCCATCAGCTCTGAGGTGAGCACACCTGCTGGGGTGCCACGTTCAGCGACCCGAAGATCATGGCCACGCCCCCACTGAGCTATTCTGCCCTAGTGAAAACATCCTCATTTCTTACGAACATCCTTTTTAACACACAGATTTCAGCCCTTTAGGAGCCTGGTGCCAGCTCCCAGTGGCAGTTCAATTTGTCTCTTTCCCTCTTAAAGATCTGGGCTCTAAATTTAATGTAATCCTCCAGCTAGCAGAACGGAATCTATTTTTCTCCCCATTTTCCAAAATACCTACCCTTTAGTTATGTTGCCCGAAATCCCTGCTGTTTTCCACCTCAGCCTCAAAACAGAGCCCCTGAGACCTGAGAAGAGCACATGAAGGCATGTGAGCGGCATTCAGCTCGCTGTTTCTTCCTTCAATTTCAGAGCCCTGGACCTACCCTGACAAGATTTCGGGCATTCAAGATTATTGCCACGGCTGCCACTTATGCATTTAAGGAGGAAGAAAATAACACTTCCTCCAAATTGAGAAGAGGTGGTACTTTCATTCTTCTTTTGCTGTGTAACGCATGACTGCAAACTTAGCAGCTTAAAACAGCAAAGGTGTGTTACCTTACAGCTTCCGTAGGCTAGAAGTCTGGGCACAACCAGACTGGGCTGCCTGCTCCGTGCCTCGCAGGCTGAAATCCACATGTCAGCTGGGCTGCATTCCTTTCCGGAGCTCAGGGTCCTCTTTCAAGCTCACACAGTGGTTGGCAGAACTCAGTTACACCTTGCAGGTGTCAGACTAAATCCACGCCCCCAACCCTCCTGCTGGCTATTAACAAGGGGCACTCTAGTTCCTAGAGGTCAACCACAGTTTCTTACCACACGGTCTCCTCCAAAGCCTCCTCATGCTTCAGATCTCTCCTGTGCCAAGTCCCCCCTTCAGAGAGAGCCCAGTCCCTTTTAAGGGATCACTTGATTAGGTCAGGCTCTCCCAAGGTGATCCCCCTTTCTTAAAGTTAACAGTGCCATGTAACATAACCTAATCCCAAGAGAGACTATGTTGTCAGATTCACGGGCTCCACCCACACTCAAGAAGAAAGAACTATACCAGGTCATAAGCCATTGGAAGGCATCTCACATTTCTGCCTTCCGGGTGGAATAGATGGGCATAGAACAAGAAAAGAAGGGAGGGAGGGAGGGAGGAGGGCAGAGGATGGACAAGGAAATACAGCATTTTTCAGTTTGGGGGAAGTTGCACCAAAGTCAATATGGAAAGCACTAGATGCTAACTAACATACCCGAACTACAGCCGGCTGTTACTCTCGTGGTTCCATCTCCGGGCCCCTCCCTCTGGGGTGACTTCAGCAACGAAGGGTGGGAAAGCTCCCTGTGGAGTTTGGTGACCGGGGAGCAAGGCCTGGCCCTGTTGGTTTGTGGAGTGACTACAGGCAACCAAGGAATGTTAGGATGTCATGGTTGCTTCACCTATAGCCTTCATGGGGATGTCCAACCCCAGAAACTTAAATCTTTCCTTCCCAGACTCCAGGCACGTTCCTTCTTCCTTCCATTGTCCCCGCTGAAGTGCTTTAGTATAAGCACCTTCATTCCTCCCAAAGCTCCATCAATGTACAAAATTTCAGCAGCCTGGGCCTGTCAAGGTCCAGGCTGAACACATTTGTGGAATTGTAAGTTGTGACTTATCAGAAGTGAGGTCCCCGGACTGGAATCACCCTCTGACATGTGGTCACCTCCCCAGGCCTCTGCCCAGGCTGTCTTCCTGTCAGGATTGCGCCCCCAGCAGGTGGCGCAGAGTAAGTTACAAGGCCAGTGTCCTGCTAGACCACCTGGGCCCCTGAGGCGGCAGCAAAACTGTTTGCCAGATGGACTCTGTTTATATAGGGCTGTGGCTCCCTCGTGCTGGCCGCTTTCTGCCAAGCCCACTGCCTGCCGGGCACTCTTGGTGGCTAATTAGACAGGCTTCCTCCCAGAGTCCCAGGAGAGAGGCGAGGGGGTGAGCCCTGGCTGCTGGAGAGCCCATCTGGGCAGGCAGTGGGCAGGGGCTGTGGCCGCAGAGACCCACAGTAGCTGCTGCTTAGATGCCACCCAGAAACCCCAGGTGGGCCCAAGGGTGGGTCCTCCCCAACTTCCTTTAACCTGGGAAGTGCTTTTCTTGACAGTTAAAACTATTGCATTGCAAATTGGAGACATTCCCAGAGTGCCTGACTGGATATGAATCTCTGGTCTCCCCAATAGTCAGCAGAAACTCCACAAAGTAGAGAACTTGCCCATAAGCACAGGGCAAGGTTTCCTCATCTGTGAAGTAGATACACACCCCACCGCCCAGGCTGCTGCTCTGTCCCTGGGCTGCCCATCCTTTGGGCCACAGTCCCTGCATATGAGGTCTCTTACATGGTTCATCCACCTCACAGGTGTTTTCCTGGTCTCAGGCCCCACAAGTTGTCAGGTAGGCTGGAAGCCAGAGGCTGGACAGGGTGAGGACGCACGTGCTTTCATCTACGGGCACATCAACACCGTGGCCGGCTGATGTGTTAACACCTCAATGAACCTTGGTGATATCACACCCATGTGTCCACAAATGATACTCATACCCCACCCCTCTTTCTTCAGTCTCCTGAACTCCAGACGTATAGACAGAGAGCCTCTCTTATCATGTGTCCCCTAAGGTAGCTCAAATGTAAACAAAACTCAGGGCATCTTCTTTTGTTCCCTGTCCTGTGTCCCTAGTTCAGGGCTGGACACCACCGTTCCAGATGCTCTCTAAACCTGGGCACCAGCCTTGACCCTCCCTCTTCCTCACTTCTATGCCCAGGCCCTGCAGGTCTGGCTTCTTGAATACCTCTTGAATCCACCCAGCCCCACAGCCACTGCCTGGTGCATGTCCCCAGCATTCGTCCCCCCGGGCCACCTCCCTGCCAGCCTCCTGTCTGGGCCCTCAGCCCACAACAGACCCCTGTCCTCCACCACAAGCTCCTGAGCCAGGCTTGTCCTCAGTGCCAGGCACACAACCATGACTGTGCCTCAGCCCTGCCTTCAAGGGGCGTGTCAGCGTTCTAGAATCAGGCCATCACTCTGCTCACCTTTCAATGACACGGGGCAGGAAGGACCAGAGGGACAAGGTCCGGTTGCAGTCAGGCCTATTGGAGTCAAACCCCAGCTCTGCCCCTCAACCGATCATGACTTTGGGTAAGTGGCTTGCACACCCTAAGCCTCAGGAATAGTCACCGCAGAACACCTGCTGCGTGGGGCCAGTGGGACAGTCACGGAGATGACATACTGAAGAGTCCACTCAATTACGAGGGCCCATTCCTGCTACCATCACAGCCCTGAAAACTGAGGTGCTTCTGTTTGGCAACCTAGGTTTGATTTTGCAGGCTCTCCATCTCCGCAAGAGACAGCCCATCCGGGTGGCCCTCACCTGACCATCCTGTGCAGTCCCCTCTGTCCTGGGGCCAGCTCCTTGCAGGGCTTCTTGCTCCAACAGGCCCTCTCAGTGGGTTCTAACCTGGCCTTGTCAAAGGACCCCTGTGTGCACCTCAAACGGGGCATTGATAGGGCCGTGGTGAGAGCCGCCCAGCGGATCGGGAGCAGGCTTGGCTTGGCGGCTCCGCGTGACTTCCCCAAACCCAGCTATTTCCTGCTCCTTGGGCTGGCCCCTCCTAGCCGCCTGGCCGCAGGGCACAATCCCACTATACAGCTCAGCCTATTTCTTGGCTCCAGGCCAGGGAGGGGGGTGGGGCATCACCTCAGCTGGTCCTTGGGACACTCAGCCACGGCCCCTCGGTGTCCTCCTGATGAGGATACAAGACTGGAGACAAGGCCAATCCCCTCCTCTGGTAACGTCTGCCCCTAGCATTTGATGGGGATGTCTATGGGGGCCTCTTCATATGGACTTGCACAAGAGACAAGAGCTCACACGGGCTGGGACCCCAGCCCCTCTTAACAGGCTCCACGTGGAGTAGGGGGGGAAAAAAAGTCACTTGGTTTAATCTCTGACTGCTGTGTGACCTCAGGAAAGTCACCTGATGTCTCTGGGTCTCAATCCCCTCATGAGTGGAGCAGAGCTCGCTGTCCATCTCTGTCACAGCCTCGCTTTATCAGTTGCTTGGGGATCTGATAAAGAGCAGATGAAATCCATGAGGAAATCCGCTGTCCCCAGAAAAAGCTGACAAGCCAGAAGGTTGATGATACCTCTCAAATCTATCCCCTTCTTCTCCCACAGGATGACTTCACCAGCCTTCTTATGGGTCCCTGCATTTGATCTCTTCCTTCCTAAAACCCAGACCCAAACCAGACCCAAACCTGTAACTCCCCCTGCCCAAAACCTTCAAAGGTTATCCTTAGCCCCATCCCAGGATAAGTCCACACTCCCGGGCATGGCATTCAAGGCTCCATTAGGTCCCTTTGGGTACCAGTGAGGGAGCCCAACTCGAACTGCCTCGGACTGTCTGCTGACTTCACTCTCAGGCAGGCCCGCAGCTGCTGGCCGGGGAGGAAGAAGGCAAGGGGTGGAGAAAGAGACCAAGATTATTGAATTTGATTCCTACGTCCAACCATACCTAAAGCCAGAAGTCCCTGGTCTTTTCATTCATGTAAACCAAGCAGCAGCATGACCACCTTTTTTCTATTTTTATTTTTTTCATAAACTTGAACCATCTCCTTCCTGCAAATGCCCTCTTTGGCTGAAGTTAGCCAAGGTGGGCTTGCAGCCAAAGAGCCTTATGGTATGCACAGGCTCTTCCAGAACCAGGGCCCAAGACCTCAGCAGCCTCCCCTTCCACGCCTCCCCACTTGCAGCCAAACTGAGCCACCCCAGCTCCCCTCCCCCACATCCACAAGGCCTTCCATATCCTGCTACTTTTGCCTAGAACATCCTTCCCCACTTTGCTTACTGCTGCCCACTTGTCCTTCACGCTCCACTTGATGAAACTTCCTCCAAGAAGCCTTCTCTGGCTGTCTGAGGTCCCCCAGACTTTCCCTGTTCTTCAAACTATTATAACTAGTCACAGATCTGTCCTCACCTACCCAGACTGTGGGTAACTGGAGGCAAGTCTGACCAATCACAGTCCCACCTCGTGCCCAGCGCAGCACAACATCCAGGTGGGTTCCCTCCAGGTGAGTGGAGTTCATACCATATATGGGAGACATCATGGTACTTACTCAATCTCATGGTGATCTGTAATTTATAATCAGAAACAGTGCCACGTGGTGACAGTCCCCAGCTGGACACGACCCCCTGTGCAGTCTGGACTGCACAGACTGGTGTGTGCATGTGCATGCGCATGCGTGTGTGTTGGGGGTGATAGAGCCCCGCCCACTCCATATTTGAGGAACCACATCAGCCTGAGAGAAGCATGTCGCCGCTTTATTGAAACTTATTCCCCGTCACACACAGCAATTGTGTGAGCGTGTACTGGTGGGGAGCCTCTTGCACAGCCCTCTCCCTCTGGACCCCACAAAGACCCCAGAGAGCCCTCTTCCGTGGCCCTATCGCCACTTGTGGGTCAGCTCCCTCAGGAACCCCAGCCCTCTGGGAAGCAAGCAAAAGAGGTTGGGGCCAAAACCTTCCCTGCAGCTCCTCCACCAGCCCCTCGTGGCAAGGTCCATGGACCCACAAAGGGTTTGCCTGTTTTTAACTGAACTAGTATGTGGATTTAGTCCAAGAAATGGATTCTCCTGATTTCAGGGCTGAATTGCTGCTTGACCACAAGCATCAGATAGAACTGGGTCACTTCCAACCACATTGGCGATGGACAGACTGGGCTGTGGAATGGACTGCCGGATGGTTGCTAGAGATGACCATGGTTGGAAGCGACCCATTTCACAGAGTCCCCTGCTGTGTGACTGCTCTGACCACGTGTCAATGGTGACAACTCTTACGCAAAACAATGTGTGTTCACAGGGACTGTCTGATGATTAAAACTACTGTCATTTCCTGGAACTAGCTGTCGAATGATGGTTTGGCAACTGTCTGACTGAATTTTTATTTGAATTAACAATTATTCAGCCACTTGGAAGTACTGAATTGATCAGAGTGGGCCACCAGCTATTGTATTGGATTGAACTTCATGATTTGGGGGATAATCTGATTTTTTTTTAATTATCAAATTTAATCCTTATTCTAAATTGACTGGGTTAGCCAACCTGATCCTTATTTAAGCAAGCTATCTGAAGAATTTAAATATATGGATTTGGTGGGGAGGACTCATTGCTGATTACTCCACTAAAGTGCTGTGTGAACTGACAACTATTTACAAACCAGTACAATGGACTGTTGTAGTTTGACCAAATTATTTTACTGAACTGACAAGTGTTTTGTTTTTTTTTTAATTTGTCAGCCACTTGGTTAAACTGGTCAAGCTGAAAAATATTTAACCAAATGCAATGAATTTAGAATGACCACTTGTTTAAACAAATGCCAGAGCTGATCAAACTAAGCCAGGTGTCATTGGACTGAATCTTTAAGAGACTCGAGGAGCCATTCAGCCTTAAGCGTTGACCCAATTGTGAGCATCTCCCAGGCCCCACAGGCAAAGCAGGCCAGCGAGGGGTACACAAGCAGACTGTCCTGAAGTCAGCTGGGTGGTTCACCCAGGCCACAGGGGCCACCAAAGCAAAGAAGAAGCGGATTTCGAGGCAGTTCCACCTCCCAGCACCAGGGCTGGGGACTGGCGCTGTCACACCTCGGAGTATGGGGGAGGCTCCGAGTCCGCCTCCTGAGTCTTGGGAGGCAGAGACACAGCTTCCTCATAGGACGGCAGGACCACCTGCAAGGGACAGAGATGAGGGTTGAGGATTGGCCAGAAGGAACCACACCTTTGACAAAAGGATGATGAGGACCAGCACACCTCGTGTACTTACTGGTATACTTAATGTGTGCTCGGCATTGTACACACTGACAGGCGCACCTCTGTTCCTGTGGGGAACAGACTTGCCTCTGCCTCGTCAGCATCAAGCCCCCTTGTTTAATAACAGCACCATTTTCCCTGGGAGAACAATCTCAGTCTGCGTGCTTTCAGAAGAATTGGCCCCATCTTTCAGGTCCAGGGGGTGGACATGTGACCTGGGCGGGGCCCCTCAAAGGAGAATTTTATCCCGCTGGCTATCTGTGGTCATTGGTTTGGGGTTAGGCTTGTGACTCAACCTAGTCCAATCAGACATGCTCCCGGGACTTCCTGTCTGCTGGGGCTGCTGAGAGGATGGGATGTCAGCCAGGGATTTTGGTGTGATTTTTGCCACCACAAGAAAAGGGCTGCCTGAAAAGGGAGCCAATGCTGAGGAAAGTAGAGTCCAGAGATGAAGAGGATGGGATCACATCTGTATGTCCAGGTAAATATTGGACTTTCAAGTTCTGTGAGCTAATAAACTCTCTTCTTTAATTTAAGTCAGATTGAGTTGGGTTTCTGCCATTTGCAACCAAAAATGTCTTGACTAATACCATCCCCATTTTACAGATGAGAAAGGTGAACCACAAGTAGTTTAAACCAGCTGCCCTTTTCCCATAACTTCTCCAATCGGCTGTTTCTAAGTGCACCTCATCCCTCTGCCAGGAAGGCCCCTGCCCCTTTTCTAGCTACCTTGTACCAATTGATAGTCTAAGACTTGGTCAAATGTCACCTCCTCCAGGGAGCCTTCCCTGACAACCCAGATGAGGTCAGCTGCCTCCTCTGTGCTCCCATTGCCCCTGTGTGTTACACTGAGTTGCAATTGAATTTCTGTGTCTAGATTTACTCTGGACTATCCACTCCTCTAGAATGAGGTGGCATCTTAGTTTTCTCTGTACCTCCAGAGTGGGATATAAGGCCAACAAAGAGTAAGAGGCTGAAGATGTTGAAAGCACGCATAAATGAAAGAACCCCAGACTATCAGAGCTGAACGATATCTTCACATTTCTTCTGGGCCAAACCTCTTCTTACAAATGGAGACACTGAGGCACAGCAAGGAAGAGAGACTTGCCCCAAATGACAGAGTGAGTAGCAGAGCTACGCTGGCTCCCCTCCCCCCGCCACCAGGCTCACCTTCTCCAGCATCTTGGAGCTGCTCTTCCCCTCAGCTGAGTTCATGTACTTGATGAGTCTGTAGCATCTCCACACGCACTTGAACATGTAGACCTGGAAATGGCCCAAATCAGTCTGTGCATTGCCGGCTCTGCTCCTCACTGTCCCAGCAGACCTGAGGCAGATGCTGAGCACTTCCTGGAGAACCCCAGCTCACCCCAGCAGGCAGCACCCTGCTGCTGCAGCTCAGACGCCTGTTCTGGTTGAGGGGTGCCTCACCTGCCAGTCCTCACGACTCCAGGTATTCCCCGTTTTACCTCCCCACAGATGCAGTGCAAAAGGGGCTTTTTGGAGGTTTTGCAGCCACCCTCAGCCTCCCTCCCAATAGTCCTGCAGGTTCCGCTTGTCCACCCCTGGGGACTGGGAGCTCACTACTTCCTGAAAAGGCCTTGCTCACCCTGAGACAGAGCTCACAGTGGGAAAGGTTTTCTTTTTTAGATTTTACTTATTTTTAGAGAGAGATGAAGGGAGGGAGAAAGAGAGGAAGGGAAACTTCGATATGAGAGAAAAACATCAATTGGCTGCTTCCCTTACGTGCCCTAACGGGGAACTGAACTTACAACCCAGGCATGTGCCCTGACCAGGGATCAAACCAGGAATCTTTCACTTTGTGGGATGATGTCCAGCCAGCTGAGCCACATCGGTCAGGACAGGGAAGGTGTTCTTGAAAGTTGCTTATGATATGTTGTTTTTAAAAGCAGATTACAGAACAGTGTATGCTGTAATATCTCATGTTTACAAATATAAAAAAATTATATGTACAGACATATATATCTGTCAGATGTCGTAAGCAACTGCTCTCTCTCAGCAGTTGATACAGGAACTGGGGAGACAATTTCCAGAGTGGCGAGTGAAGTCCCAGGGCCGTGCTCAAGGACACTGGCCAAAAGTTCTCTCTGTGCCCCAAACGGCCCCATAAGGAAGAAGAGCGGGTCCTGGCAACTGGAAGGTCTCTTGTTTCATGGAGTCTCATAATGGGGGCTTAGAGGGGGCAAAAATACATAAAAGGAAACATAAAAGAATGAAATATGAAGGGCCCCGGAAAAATCAAGTAGGTGGAAGGTGGCCAGTGAGGGGCCCAGAGAGAACCCCCCTCATCCAAGGAGAAGAGAGGGGGGAGATGCGTTGTGCAGTGGCGTTGGAGAAGCTGTTTTCTAGCCCAGTGTGTGATGTAACCCCCCCTCTGGTTTCCCCCAAGCCTTCAGAAAAGTCCTCATTGCACATCGCTAACGCACTTGTAGTTTGAGGGAAGCTTAAAAAGAGTGAAATTCTGGCTCCAGGTTGGCCTTAGGTGGGGCAAGAGACGCTCAGGGCCTTCGCTGAAGGGAGGTGGTAACGTCTGCTTACCCCCCTCCCCACTAGAAGACTGGGAGGAGCCCTGGCCGGGTAGCTCAGTTGGTTACAGCACTATCCCAATGGGCCAAGGCTGTGGGCTATTCCTGGTCACAGCACATATACGAATCAACCAATGAATGCATAAATATGTGGAACAACGACAACAAACTGTTGTCTCTCTCTCTCTCTCTCTGTCCCCCCTTCCCTCTCTCTCTAAACTCAATTAAAAAAAAAAAAAAGACCCGGAGGAAATGTACCCAGGTATCACGAAGTACTGCTCTCTGTGTGGCAGTGGGTGGGGGCTGATTGTCTTCTTTCTGCTCATCTGAAGTTTCTAAATTTCTACACTGAGCCTATGTTACTTTCACAGAACCCTTTTTAGAAGCACTTCCTTCTCTTGAGTCAACATCAGCCTCCCTGTGGCTTCAGGCCAAAGGACCCGGCTCTGGCCTCTAGAATCCCCAGGAGGGGCCTTTGAGTACTAGAGACGTGCTCATATCCCCCTTGAGGCACCTCTTTCCCAAGCTGAATTGCCCAGTGTCCTTGGCTCCCTCAGATGGCAGAATTTTCTTGCCTCTTCGTCCTCCTATTTGTGCTACTCTAAACACACCCCAGTCTGCCACCATCTCCCTAAGAGCTGGGACCTGAAACTGGATTCTGTCTTCTGGGTCTGACCACCCCACAGAAGAACAAAACCATTTCCCTCCCTCCTTCTTATCACCAAGCCTCTAGTAATATGACCTCAAGACCCAACTACATTTTGGTGCCTGAATCACATAAAACTATGACACTGGCTAAGTAAGACATTATGTCCCTTTCACAGAGGAGACCTGAGGCCCAGAGAAGAGACTTGAAAAGTAACCACACAGCTAGTGAGGGGAGAGCAGGGATTCAAATTCAGGTCCTTCTGAATCTAATTCAGACAGAACAGCTCCTCCTCCCCGAGGTCAGGGCCCCTCTGGGTTATACATTAGTCCCTGACACCCGAATGGAGGTGGTCTTTGCAGATCCACTTGCTCTATATGGGGTGTCCCTGAGGATCCCAGCTCAGAGGAGCTGATGGGGAGAGGGCTAGATTAAGGGGCCAAGAGCAGGGAGGGTGACAACAGGGTCCCTGCCTCCAAATAGTCCAGCAAGGGTGGGTCTGGGGCCACACAGCCTCACCACCCCTCCCAGAGCCACGGAGCAAGGGCCACTCACCTTCAGGATGAGGACAGTAATAAAGGCGACGGAGAAGATGATCATCATCTTGATGAACTGGTTATAAGCCATTCCCTCCTGGCTGGGGATATAATTCTGCAACAGATTTGGGGACCGTGTCAGAGCCTTTGGCCACAGGGGAGGAATGACGAGCCTGCTCTACACACACGCAGGGACATGTTGCGGCCCAGCCATTGTCTTGGCTGATCCTGCAAGGGTCCTGGGAGGCAGGTGCTACTTACCATCAGCCCCATGTGACAGGGGAGGAAACCACAGGAAGCAGATGCAGCTGCTGCATGCCCAGATGGCCCTTCCCTCGCGGCGCCCCCAGCCCCCAGCTGGCGGTGGGCATGCCTTTCCCCCAGCACAATTATGGCTGATTGAACAGCCTGATCCAGAAGTACCTGGAAAATCACCCACTCCCAAGGGGGCAGCGCACAAGCAGTGACTAAAGGATGCCAGTTACTGCTCACAGTGGGACAGCCTCAATGGCATTTGCAAATATGTGCACACAACCTTTGATACTCTTCCCTTCAAAACATAGAGCTCATTTCCCCTCCCTAGATTGTGAGCCACACCTAGAGACTCACTTCTCACAAATAATAGAAGGGAGCAGAGGTGAGTATGACCTCTGAGGCATAGCTGTTTTCTCCTTGCTCTGCCTCTCAGGTGCTCACTCGGGGGAGCTGGCAGCCATGACATGAGGATGCTCAAGCAGCCTTATTAAAGGTGCACAGGGTGCAGAATTGAGGCAAAGAGCCGACAGCCATGTGAGTAATCCATCCTGGGGGTGGATCCTTCAGGCCCAGCCAGGCCCTTGTTGTTGGCAGCTCCATCCCCATCTCAGGTGTGACCTCATGGGAGACCCTGAGTCTTACCAACCCAGCAAAGCCACTCCCAGATTCCTGATCCCCAAAAAGCTCTGTGCAATAACAATTGTTTATTGTTTTTATGTTACTCTGTTTGGGGAGAATTGGCTAGACAATAATAAAAAATTAGTATTATTTCTGTGGGGCAATTCATACTCCAGGGCTCCCTCTGAAATCGGGCAGGGCTACCCCTGAAGCCACATGCCTGCCTGGCTTCTTCCCTGTGTCTAACCTGTTCCCCTCCCCTTTTTCAAGGTTTTCCTAAGCATTCTCCCTCAGTAAATCACCTGTACAAAAATCCTCCTGCCAGGCTTGTCTTCTAAGGAGCCCAGCCCAGTCTAAGCACAGGGAGGGGAAGCAACTTGCTCAAGGCCACACAGCCAGTGACAGGCATGGACCCCTGGCCCAGACTCACCATGTGGTTCATGGACTTGAAGTTGAGATAAGTTGGCACTTCCATGTAGGAGCTGCAGAGGGTCAGGATGCTCAGGCAGAAGTCCAGCAGCTGCAGGGTCATCAGTGGGACCTTGGAAGGTTGCTTAGGAGGACAAAGACAAGGAGGAAGATAGATCAGCAATTAAACCCCAAGCAGAGGTGTTGTGGGGCCGGCACATGGGCAGGGGGCGGGGCTCAGCTCGAGACACCGTCTTGGCTAGAGAGTACCAGTGGCCTTCTAGTCCACTGTCCCCAGAAAGAAATGGATACCCATTGCTCAGATGTTCACACCGAGGGCCGGTGGTGGAGCCCGGGACTAGAACCAGGGCCGTGACTGCCTGCCCAGGGCCCTTCCACAGTATAGCTCCCAGTCTTTTCAAAGACAGCAATCTGAGAGGGTCTGGACAGAAGCTTTGGGGGCCATATCAATGATGGGCGCCAGCCATCACGGGCACCCCACTGTGGGCACCCAGGTGGCTTTACTCGTCCTCATCTTCCTTTAGAACATGGTTACAAAGGAGGGACAAAGTAGGGCTGGGGCCTGAAAGGGAGCATGTGCCATTTCTTCTGCCGTGGAGTCACTCGTGGGTGGCATTTGTCAAGCGCTTACCATGTGTGAGTGCCCTCTCTACACTTTCCTCAGTTAATGCGGCTAGGGCACAGCGAGCAGACGGGACCACAGACCCATTTGACAGAGGAAGGAACTCTGGGGTGCTTTGAAGGGACTCAGGGACTTGCTGAAGGTCACCAACCAGGAAGGGGACTTGAGGGGCTTCCCATCCGGCCTGAGCCCCACGCCCCACCTCCCCAGGCTGGGTGGGCGGAGAGTGGGGCTGGGTACTCACAGCCCGACTCCGGGAGACAAACTTGAGGTAGGAAGGCAGCTCCACGTAGGAGCCCAGCAAGGTGAACAGGCACAGCAGGTAGTCCATGATTTGCAGGGACATGAAGGGCAGTAGGTACTTCTCCCGGTTCTGAAAGGCAGGCCCAGCGCCGTCAGGCACCCCTCGCACACGTCCCCATGCAGCCTGATGCCCCCATGCCCTCTCACCGGCAGCTCCCTTCCCTCCCTAATTCTCCTAATCCACATGGATCCACGTGCCCTCTGCTGAGTGAGGCTCTGGGGAGGGGGAGAAGGCAAGACCCAGGCCCTGAGCGCAAGGAGCCTTGATGTCCCTGGAGGTACAAGAACAGGCCCTATCTACAGGGTAACTGCTCCCGGGGCCCTAGGAGCAGGCGCAGCTCAGTTCCCTTTCAAGAACTCAACCAAGATGAGCCATTTTGCGGATGAGAAGAGATCAGAGAGGACTTCCTGGAGGTGGGGACACAGAGTGGATCTGGAAATAAGCAGGAGAGAAAGAGGGAGAGTACTAGAGGCAGACGGGCCAGAAGGAGCAAAGGCCCGAGGTGGGGAAAAGCCTGCGGGACTGAAATAGTCAGACACTCCAACGTGCAGGTGCTCCTGGGGACTATTCGCCATGGTAAGTGGTCCCGAAAGGCTGAGGCTGAAATCCCCTTCCTGCAACTGAAAGCAAGTGACCATTGTGACCAGTATGACTGCATAGGAACCCACAGTTGGGGATAAAATCACAGAAAGGGTGGTTTCGTGGTTTCTCATGTGGTTGTCTAAAATCACTCAGGAGGTGGCCAAAACGACCCAGCCTGAGGCTCAGAACCTCCAGGGGTGACCTGATCCATCTTTCTAACTGGGCCATTTACATTTCTGCTCAAGCGCCTGGGAGCCACCCTGAACAAGGTGGAACCCATCCCTGGGATGCAGGGCAGGGTAGCACGGCATTAGCCAGGGGGTGATGGGGACATTTCATGCGAAGTGGAAACATTCCAAACAAACACCAAACCATTGACCCCCATCTCCTGGCCCTGAAGGCGCCAAGCCACTGTCTGTCCTGGAAGGGCCCTGTTTCGAGCCTCGCTTCCTGCCTCTCTGGGGCCAAGGACAGACGGTTCCTCTTTGCAGGAGCCTGAGCCACAGCCTGTCTCTCTCACACTCCCTCACTGGGCAGAAGTGAGCTGGAGGTGTCTACACTCTCCCCTGTGCTCTGGCTTCTCCCACAATCACAAAACCCATTGAATTCTCCCCTCTCCTCACTCCTCCAAATGGCTCTTCCTCTTTTTTCTATCAAAATTCCCTGCCTCTCTTTGTCGTATAAAAGGATGTGGGTCACCAGTGATGATATCTAGGGTACAGGATGGGTCTCCCAAAACACCCACCTCCCACCTTCTCAGCAGCCAATTCCGCCCCCCCCAGTGGGTATGACTATGGGGGGGGGGGCAGAAGGGTAGCTGGGGCTCCCCAAGTCCTGGCTCCCCTTCCCCTCCCGCAGCGGGGCCCTCACCTTGACCACACCGATCAGCAGGCTCACGCTGATGACGAAGAGCATGGCGATGAGCAGGAAGCTGGAGATCAGGTCGGCTGAAAGGCAAGGCAGAGTCGTGAGGGGCCGGAGGGGCCCCCAGGGAATCCCACCGGGGCTCCAAGGACCGCACTTTGGGAACCGCTGGTATGGGGGCTGTGACACTGAACCACAAGCCCAGGCCCTGCCCTGCTGTAGTTCCCAGGCTTAACAGGCTACAAAGATGCCAACAGAACATTTCAGGTGAACAAGAGGGTATAACAAAGGGTCCCAGCGGAGGTGGGGGGAGGGGCAGGCTAGGGGTCTGCTTTAACCAGGGTGAGGTCTGTGAGCTGCGTGACAAGGTGGCCAGGCAGGGCCTGAGACAAGGTGTGGTCAGTGCCGCTGGAGTGCGGGGAATGGGGTGGGGAGAGCCTGGAGAGACCCTGGAGGAAGGTTAAGTCACCACTGTGACCAGACAGGTTAGCAGGGGCTGGACTTCACGATTCTTCTAGTGTGATGGGCAGCCATTGACGGGTATATGCAGGGGAGCCCTGGTGTCATCCTTCCAAGCTGGTTAGGTTAGCAGGGCGCCACCCTATCTGCTCCCACAGCTCGGGACCCGGGTCAGGACAGGTGGAAGAGCCCCCTTTGCAGATAAAGATCTGAGGCTCAAAGAGAGGAAGTGGCAGGGCCTCAACCCCCAGTCAGTCACCCACAGCCAGGACCCCTTCCCATCTCCTTCCCAGCTTCCCCCTCCTGTCCCTTGGACCTACCAAACCTGAGGTAGCCTGTCTTGGAGAATCTGCAAGAGGCTTTGCCATGGGCTACCTCCACAGAGTGCTCGATGAAAAGCAAGACGCTCATGATCTGGGGACAAAGCAGAGCATCAGTCAGCAGGGTCTGCACCGCCCCCTCACCAGCCCCTCCCTCCCCCAGGGTGTACGGTCAGGGGCCTGTGAGGAGGGGTCCTGGAGGAGACTGAAAAGCAGGTCAGTAGGGCAGCCTGGATCAAAGCATGGCCTGTACAAGCTCATGATCATGGTTCTTTCACTTCCCAGCTGTGTGAGTTTGGGCAAGTTACGCAACCTCTCTGTGCCTCAGTTTCTGCTCTGCAAAATGAGGGTAATGTAGTAGCTACCTTAGGAGGCTATTATGAGGAATAAATGAGAATCCCAGTCAAGCCCTTAGAACCATGTTCTCATTCAAGCATAACTGGGACTATTGAAGGTCAGTCTTAAGAGAAGGTGAGGGACATCATGGGACCTTAGTCACAGCACCTGCGCATCAGAGAGCTTAAAGCTCACAGAGTCATCAACACAGGCCTGGCAGCACCTGACCCATGAATTCCCGCGTGCCCTCCGAAACCCATCTCTCATGGCACCTCAGTTTCCCCATTGTCAAAATGAGGATAATAACACCACCTGCCTCACAGGGTTGGAGTGGGACCGGATGGGCTATAATTCACGTACAGTGCCTGGCAGGTCGTAAGCACTTAGTCTGTGCTTTCTACTATTATTACTATTATCCCCAATGGACTGCAGGTTCCTGCGTCTCTCTTGTTCACTGCTCTTGCTGTTTTATTTGATGAATAAATGGATGGAAAGACACATGAACCCCATCCCCCGATGGGGACCCACCCCTGCGGAGGATAACGGAGGAGGGGCACTCTGATGGGCGTGAGTGTCGGGGTGGCCCCCGCAGCTGCTGAAGTCCAGCCACAAAACTGCAGCTTAAAAGGACCTTGGAGGTCACCTTGCCCAGGCCCTCCACTTCCTTTATGTTTTTTTTCTTTTTTTTTTCTTTTTGCAGATGTAGTCCCCCATTCAATCTGGGCTGCCACAAAGACAGGCAGAAAGCGGGGGGATTTTTTTCTTTCACATCCTAGTGCAAACCAAAAGAACAACATCGATTGTTCAAGGTCCATCAGTGGATGCAGTATCCACTTTCCGATGCAAGAATCCTGGCCATGCAGCAAATGCCTCCAGCCACGGGGAACTCATCATCTTCTGTGCATTCGTGTCCTTGCAGGTGGCCTTCTGCCCTTCCCCCACCACACGCACACAATGTTCTAGGCACCATCCATTGACTGAGAATAAGACTATCCCCTCCCTCCAGCAGGCATCCTACCTCTATTAATATAGCCTATATTTACATTGGCTTCTAGGCAGCCCCACCCTGGTAACTCATGCTGAAAGGAGAGGCAACCCGACACCAACCATCTGTTTCCCCCTTGCTGACTGTGGGTTTTTTAGCTCAGACACAGGTATTAATTGTTCTCTCTGCCATGTTACATCCTCTTCAGTGGGGCAGAAAGGGACAACGTAGGAGAGTAATGAAGAGCTGGGCTCCAGAGTCAGAGAGAGGTTTGAATGCGTGTCCCTATGTGACTTTGGGCAAAGCCACCTCACCTCTGTTTTCTCCTCTGGAAAATGGCCATCACTGGATTGAGTAAGGAAGAAATTGTGTTGTATTTGCAAAAAACTGAGCTTGGGCCCTGGCAATAGGTGCTCAGCCAACATAATCTGCTTTCGGCTGGTGCAAATTTACGAGGGCCAGTCAGGCAGTACCGGGAACAGGGTGCCAGGGGGCGACGGTGAGCCTGCTCCAGCGGCCCGCTCCGCCTGGGCAACCAAGCGGGCTTTGTTTCACCAGGAAGGCTGAGAGCGGCCCAGAGTGGAACGGCAGATGCGGGGTGAGGCCTGAGGCTGGCACCTGCAAGAAGCAGCCCTGAGAGACGAAAGCTGCTTCCTCAGCCTCCCTCCTCCCAGTTTCACCTTTAATGAGGGAAAGAGAAAGGGAGGCAGACGGCAGTTCAGTCCAGGGCAGAACCGGGGACCCTGCAAGACAGTGAGCTCCCCAACCCTGGGAGTGTGTGGGCAGAGCACAGATGAGTCGCAGCTGGGCTTAGAAAGGCCCCTAACTTTCCACGGAAGACACCAGTCCCTGGTCCAGGAGCGGCACAAAAGGACTTTTGAAGTGCCAAGAATCAAGGATTATTTGAGATCTAGAACGAAGCTCAGAATCAGACAACCCCAAACTCCAGTTGCTGGAAAGAGCCTTCATCCACTTATTTTATAAGCTCCTTCTTCTTGTTTAATGAACTGAGAGAGGTTAGGTGGCTTGCCCAAGGACACGGAGCTCATTGGGGACAGAGTGGAACTGAAGTCCAAGTCTCCCGGTGATGCCCTGTTGCCTTCCCATATACCCTGCCCCCCTGCACCTCAAGGCCCCTGCTGGCCCGGACCCCAGAAGGCTCAGATATTTCGATCACGCACCTATGTCGGGGAACCTTTTGAACATACTCCTCTTTATTTCTAAATTATATGCACGTGCTACTCTCCTGGTTTATCATGAACATCATGAAACATACATACAAAAATTTCAGGAATTCATAAAGAATATAATGGAAACATTTATAAATTCTAATATTGTCATCCTGAAACCCCAGTGGTCACCTTGAGCATCACCCGACTTCGGAGACCACTGCTAACTCCCAAACCTCCCTGCCTCCCCCACTTTCTCAATTCTGACCCCACACATCTCTCACGACCCTGTCGCCATGCCTGCGGTCCTGCCGTTAGCCTCCCCACCGCCCCTCCTGAATGCCCTGTGACCCCAGCGAGGGGAGGAGGGGGAGGACATTTGTACACCCTGATCCACAGGGGCCAGGTGCACCACCCTCACCACCCCCATGACACGCCCATAGCCCGGGAAAGGGACTATTCTTAATCCTCCCACTCCCATTTCAAAGATGAGGAAGGTGCGACTCAGAGGGGCCCAAGGCTTCCCAGCTTGTAATCTGCAGAGCCAGGATTCAAAGCCAGGCTGAAGGGACCTAGAGCCCATTCTCATCGCCTCCCCTGCCCGCCCATCATCTCCCAGCCTCCTGGCTCCGCCCGAGGCCTGCCCCCAGCCCCACCCCCCGTGGAGTCAGAGGCAGACACCCGTCTCCTCTTCCCTCCGAAGTCACCTCTCCCTCCGGCAGCCTGTTTAAGAAGCAGCAGCAAGCACTGCTGTTTCTATTTTGGTAAAAAACCATCTGTGTTTAATAACAGGCTCACCCTTCACCCATTTCACCTTCCCAACAATCCTGCAGCGGGAGGGAGATGGTTCTGACCCCATGCACCAGATGAAAACCCAAGGCCACACAGCGAAGAAGGGAGGAACCAGCCTCAAGGTCACAGAGGCTGACTCACACCTTCCCCGGGCCCCTAACCTTCAATAAAAACACCAGTCCCCAGTCCAGGAGAAAGGTAGGGGATTCGGCTCCCTAGGAGATGGATTGGAGAACAACTGACACTTATTGAGCACCTACTGTGTGCTCAGATCTGTACTCACAGGTTTGCATCATAAACCCCTAAACCCTGAAAGAAAGGCAATGTTTTCCCAGTGTTACAGAGGAGGAGGTGGAGGCTCAGAAAGGAGGACTCCCAGGCTGTGTCATGTGGCCCGGCTGGCACTTGAACCCTGGTGCCTGTGCTCCCAGGGTCCAGGGCTCCACTCAGAGCCAAGAGGCTGCTCTGGGCCCCAGCCTCTGGTCCCACCAGCCGTCTGCCCATCCTTCCTCAGCGCTGGACACTCAGAGCTCAGGACGCAGCAGGTGGAGCCTGACGGGAGGCCTCCCCCACGGCCTCACTGCCATCCTACCATGGCCAGGTCCTGGCTCCTCCTAGGCCTCAGTTTCCCCCCTCCAGTCAACGAGCCGAGTCACCCCATTTGCTCCCAGGGCCACAGGGATGACTGAACACAGGAGAGTCGGGGGAGTGGAACTTTTGCAAATGAGGGCACGTCGTTCCCAGGCTCCCAGCTCAGAGCTGCCTCCTGCTCATCAGACGGCCTTCAATGCATCATCCGAGAGTCACCCAAGTCTAGAACCAAGACTCATTTGCATTTCTGGAAAAGTACCTGGCTTACCTACAGTGTCTGCTGGGAGAGGCCTGGAATCCCCAGGAGTTCAGATTTCCCAGGTCCTTATTTTCCTCTCATCTCCCTCCACTGCCCACCCCACACCCCCGCCCCCAGCCCCCGGATTCCACCTGGACACAGCACTGCCCTCACCCCGAGCTTGGAGGGCCTGGCTGGCCCAGGACCCACACCCTGCTGGAACAGCGCTTCTGTCCTCCTGCAAAGCCCAGGCAGACAGCAACCCCCTTGCCCACCTGTTCCTCCACTATAGCGTCCCCTCACTCACTATTCCTTGATTCTCCACGGGAAGATCATGTGGTTAAGAGCTGGGGTGCTGGATTCAGATGGTCCTAGGCCTAAGCCAAGTTCTATGCCTTTGAGCGAGCCACTAACCTCTCAGAGCCTCAGTCTCCTCATCTGGGAAATGGGGGGAATAACCGGACCTGCCACATAGGTTGCTATCAGGTCAAATGGCAGCTGTACAGATCCAGGTGTACAGCAAGCACTCCGTAACTAACACGGTTGGGCAGCATTCATTAATCTGTGGGTATTCATTCTTTCCCTTGTTCGTTTGTCCAGGAAGCACTCTCTGAACCCATACCACCTCCAGGCCCTGTCTGGATAAGTCATTAACCCTGCCCTGAAGGTATTGAAGTCCCCAGGGGGAAGCTGCTGGGTGCCCAGTGTATTCAGAGCCATGACAGGCAACACGCAGCGGGTTTAGGGTCCCTGGTGAAGGAGCGATCGCCGCAGCCTGGAAGACTCAGGGAGGCTTCCCTGACAGATGGAAACGGTGGAGCAGGGCTTTGAAGGATCAAGAGAATTTTTCCAACCGAGACGAGAGAGAAGCATTGCGGGAAGAAGGAACATCATGTGCAAGCGGCTGGAGCCTGGCCGTGCAGACCCAGGGGACTGGGGTGCCAGTGCAGCTGAGAGGGGATGTTACCAGGGGGGAAATGAGG